CTGGTGATTGGCGGCTTGGCGTCATGACTTGAGGGAATTGGTAAAGCATCAAGGCATCTGCTAAATTTTCTTGGATTTGGGTTAACCACTAATTCACAACAAGTCCCTGCGGTCTTTGAACTGCTTTAAACTCTTGGGCCATCCTTTTCTTACCCTCCAAGGATTCTGCTGAAGCGAGTCTCATTTCCCGTGACGTCCAAAAGGCGACTGTCCGCAACTCCTCCTTTGAACCAACAACCCTCGTGTGCTTTTTTGAAGGCTATCCTTTTCACCTTGAATTCTCAGGAAAGCAGGAGGAAACCACCAGGCTGGGGGTCCCTCTACTTTGACACATACCTTTACTGCGTCCCGACGATGGCAGTGAACCCCACGTTGCTTAAATCAGATGTGAGACTACTGCCAGTGGAATTCAGCAGCCAGTCTTGAACCCGACATTGGCCTCTGCTTCGAGATCAATTTGCTTCGGAGGTCGGAGGCATTGAGAAACGAGCGATTACCTAAATGTGAGGAGGTTGGATTCGATCCTTGGCAGGTTGGTGGCCCCAGTATTTCAGCACTCTCACAGCTTCTTCTGGCATCGGGCTTCCAGTACGTGCAAAGAACACCAAAAGGAAGATCGATGACATCAGGTTTGCTAAAGAATAACCCCAAATCGACCGGTGCACCTGAAAAAGCAACAAAGGGAGGGCATGAACCTCCCTCGACACAGCCGAGAGAAATCGGCCTCCACTTCGCCAAAGCGCTCCATCTCCTTCTTCAGGTACATGCGGGTCCTCGGGCATGGAGTCTTGTGGGACCCTGAGACATGCGCAATGGACTGTTTGTTGGTCTCTCATTCCAGGGCTGCATCGGGCAACGCCATTTTACGCTACAGGAAGACAATTCGCATGCATGTTCGTGTGGATGTGCAAGTGTGCGTGCGCGCGTGTGTGCGTGTGTGGGCCTGTGGGCGTGTGTGCAGGTGTGGGCGCGTGTGCGGGTGTGGGCGCGTGTGCGCGTGTGCGCGCGTGCGTGTGCGCTATCCGCACGACCTCACGTTACTTGTCAAATCAAGCGTATCTCTAGTTAGCCGTTGCTCACAAAAAAACTCCAAACCACGTCTGTTGCTGTGCCGCGTTCGAAAGGTCTACGAGGCCCCGGCGTTTGGATGAATACACCCCCGATCATCTGGAGTGTTCGCCTGGGCATGTGACGCGCTGGGCAACTCCTCCGTCCGCACTTGGATACAGCACAGCCTCAAATGGAATTCAACAACCAATAAAGTGGGTGCATCTATACTCTCTTTGCTCCCAATCTGAAGTCTTGTTGACAATGATGCAACGAGGACGCTTCTTAGCCACCATATTCTGGGTGGGCATCCTGCATTTTGTCAGTAGCCTCCTGATCAAATGTTCTGTGCAGCATCTGTAAAGATAAAAGTATTTACAAGTCAAGCACACATCTCATCTGCAGGAATGGTTGAGGGAGCTCTACTTTTGTTTGATTTCCTATAGTGTGCTGTTGACATTCGCACCTGTTGCTGCAAAGCATGCGATGAATCGGCAAACCGAAATTGGCAAAACTTGAAGAGCTTCTTCAAGAGGATTGGCTGACGCTTGCCCCGCCTCAAACGACATGCTAGGGTACCAATGTCAGAATATGTGGTGCTTGGAATGATGTCAGGTTGACACATGAGTCGTAAGACACTAACCAACTTAATTGTACAGTGCGCCATGGGCAATTGCAAGGCCTACCTCCTTGTTTAAAATGTCGGGAACCAACTGGTCTCACTTCCAGTGCAGAATTCCGTTTCTGCTTGAAGGAAGTACAATGCCCACTCCTGAAACCCGTGATCTATGCCGGAGACACATAACGACTATACTCCTCAGCAGACTAACCTGCAACCCAAAAAGCCTTCACTCGTAGAGGAATCTCTTTTTTCTCCTCGTGGGGTTCCCTTTTTGGAGGTTCTATGTTTATTTGCAAGAGGACACAATTTGATCTCCAGACATACTCTTCTTGATCTTGCGCTGATTTTCCCTTTAAACCAACCCAAAAAGGATACTCTCCCCCCCCCCCCCAAAACAAAAAAAACAAAAACGAGAAAGGCGAGCACAGACTCATCAAGACCGGGATCGGATGCAATTTATTTGCCGGCACCGACTCGGACTGAGCCGCTGACCCCGCCATCGCACAAAGACTCCTAAGGCAAAGAAGAAACACGTCCACAAAACAAACGTATCCCCTCAATAGTGGCTCAAACATTACACCTGAACATTGCCCTGTAAATGGTGGTGTCCCTTTGTTTTGGTGGAAAAAAATGTTTCAAATGGGCAAGATGTATCTTTTGAGGAGCCCTGTTTAAGGGATGCCAAACCCTGAAGCCTTCCAAAATCAGGAGTGCCGTTGCAAAGAATAGTTTGTGCGCCTGGTCACATGGTCATAGCAAAGTTTGCAAGGGCCGTAAAGAGACATCCCGTCCAAGGTTCTATACGCCATGTGATTTGTTGGGTTCGCTGGACGGCTCAAGGAGAGACACCACCTGTGCTCCCTGGCCCCACACAACAGGTCCTATCGCGTACCAAAGGAACAACAACGGGGTCACAGAATGTGTGTACCATGTATGCATAGAGAGAGCGAGAGCGAGAGAGTTAGTTTTCTCTCGTGCCAGTTTCCCGATTCAAGGTGAGCTGCTTTCCTTTTCACAACCATCAAAAGTGGAAGCCCATAGGCTTGGCCCAGAAGGTAGACGGAAAAACATATATTTTTCTGACCATAGGCGTCCTTTTGGTCGAATAGATGGGTTTCCTGGGAAATGGAATAAAACCAATCTAAACGAGTCCAGTGCCGTCTATTTTTCATCCCAAACTAACCGATCAGAAGGACACCTCTGTTTCTGACTCTGCTTCATAGAACATACGGAGGAGACCCCAAGAGCCTTGAGCTCCCAGGAACATCTTGCTCCCGAAGACTCATTTCCAGGCCGGCTCGGTTTCGGGCCCTAAACCCCAGCAACCGCCAAATTTCAAGGCCTTGTGGTTTTCCTTTCAAACCCTGAAACAAACATATCGCAACTCCCCAGCCCAGGTCTGAAAGTGCGAGCAGCCGAGTCGCCCAAACACCCGTCCCAACCGCGAGCCTTCCGCAGAAGCCTTCCGGAGCGCATCCGGAAGTGGCTTGGACTCGCCACGGGCAGCTCTCTTTCCTTTTGGCGCTCGCGTGGCCGGATGAGAGGACTCTAATTAACATGAGCGCTATCTTCTGGTTGAGAGAATCAGCTCAAGCTGATGGAAAGGAAAGCACACGATATAAGAGTGCGAAGCAGTGCTTGCGGTGCATGTGGCTCCTTACAAGTACTTGACTTTGCTTAAGCCCAACTTTGCTTGTTGCAGCTTTCTTCCAGGCTGATTTTGGGCCAAGAAGCCGCGGTCTTAGTCACATTGGGGTGGCTTGCCTCAAATGCACTTTGATGCTCCGAGGCTGGCAAGACGGCAAGATGATGGCGACAGGATAACACATATATCTCCCACAAGGTGCATCAAAACGGATGGAGACAAACAACTGGCCCCGAGCCCTGCCAATTTGGGCAAGCGCTCTGGCAGCGCACCTTTGGCCAAGCATGTGATGCACACAACAAGTGTGGTAATGGAACAAAGGGTACTGGAAACTGCCATGCTCAAGGCTTGTTCAATCATATAAAGTAAATCCCATTTCGGCGGTGTTCATTCCATTGCAAAAACAGACTCGCCATCTCTTTGCAAGCACTCAGCCGCACCTCAATTGCCAAAACATGTGTGTGAACCCCCAAAAAGGCTTGACTCCTCATTGTCGCCCTTCAGCCGCCGACCACAATGTCACAAGGAGGTCTCCACTGTTGCCCCATATGCTCGTGGTTCATTGGGCACAAACTCAGGTGGTCATGGTCCCTTCACTCTTGATCACATCTCCCATGAAGCTATGGCTACAAGGAGCTTCACGTGGATTCTCAATCTCTCAGGCGTGCCCTGGACGAGTGGACTCAGTCGACTGCAACCTCAAAGGGGGTTGACGGTGCTCGCAAATCGAAACTGTGATGCATCGAACAAGACAGGGCGAACAACATGCATTGTTGGGCTTGGGTTGCCAACTCATTCTACAGTTTTGCATTCCTGCTGTCAGAAGCTTGCATGCGGTGAGAAACTGTCCCCCACTTGCGCAAGTGGCTCGCACAAGCGATGTGCGGTTGCCTTGCATGCCAACAATCAATGAAGGTGTTTGTTCCGGGGAATACATTTTATTTGACGCCGCGATGGCTTCGTTTGTGCAGGAAACCTGTGGCTAGCGATTAATGACACATGGATCCAATGGATGCCCTCCACAGCAGCTCCATATCTCACGTTAGATTCAACTATTTTTACAAGTCAGTGGCAACAAAACCTGCTACAAATTATCAAAACATCATGTAAACTATCAAACACGCGGCACCTAGTTACGCTTGGGACGGTCCCCTCACGCTGACACCGGACAAAACCCCGGCGAAGGATCCATCTCAAATGGGACCTGTCACTCAAACACGGGTTGATTACTTCAGGATACTCCAGGATTATTCTGACCAACCTTCAAACCTAGCCATCTAAGAATCGATTTCAACCAAGCTGACTGACTCAAATGCCAAGGCTTCAATCACCAGATGGCTCAGGTGCCAACCCTTGGGGCCACCGCTTCCCTTTCGGGTTAATAGCTGGATGCTAAGTCGGGCTGGACGTGTTGAAACATGGCCCGGCTACTCGTTTCCTGGACAACGCTCAAACAACATTGGCTATTTAGCCCCCAAGTGAATGGGGAACCCTTCCAACAAACATGAACTTCTTCGGAGCAAATCAGTGAACTTGGGCAAAATTCGGCAAAAACACAACACTTGCACTGGTGGTACTTCCCCGGGGAAAGTCGTGTAATGCCGTCTGGTACACACACATAACCCAAAAGAACACACAAACACACGCCAAACCCAAACCCGGAAACACTTGAATCGGCTCGAAGGCCTCGCGGGCGGAGGTGGCGCTGACGAAGCCGGCCCGTTCCAGCTGCTCGAAGAGCTGATGAAACCTCCGAGTGGCTGTGAGATGGGGGGTCCGACGAACATGGGATGACCATTGAAAATGACCATGGGGTCACATGGGGGTTGAAGTGGGAAACCACTAAGAGTTGATGAAAAGGTATTGGTTTGTATCGGGGGTTGATGAAAAAGTCCGATGAACATGGGATGACCATGGGAAACCACTCAGATTCGATAATTGCCATATGGAAAAAGTTGCCCGTGGTCTTTTGGGTTTCGAAGGGAACATTGATCAACCCCCAGATCCGTAGACTCGAAGAAACCAGCCACCTCAGACATGCAGCTTCCATTTTCTTTTTCGTCGCCTGGAAAAGATGAGAACATATGTCCAGTAGTGATAGAACCCCTTTAAAAACAAGAGAGATAAGAAACATTCTTAAACGCAGGAAATTGTTTGTTAATTTGGTGGGCTGTCCTGTAGACATTCCAACCCCTGAGCTTTCTAGAAAGACAACTATGCGTTCCACCAAGTCGTGTACTCTTTTAGCACTCTTGTCAAAAAGAAGTTTAGAAGGAACTTCCGTGTTACGGCAACTAATTGAAAGCTAGCTCTCGCTGAGACAGATGAAGAGAAGGAATAAGCACGCGAGAAAATATGCGCGCGCGTGTGGTGGGAGTAAGGAATCTGCAAAAAGCGTGGCCCCGTGCGTGAATTGGTGTCTCCGGAGAGCTGGAAGCTGGCCTGTTCGCGGCGCCTGGTGGAAGCGCGTTCGGAGCGCGTTCGGAGCGGGCTCGGGCAGTCTCGGACCGTGCTCGGAGCGCGGGCCCATTGGCACGGCAACGCGGAGGTTTCGCAAGGGTTGAATTGCGTGGCAGGCGCAGCACTTTCGCAAGGTGAGGTGCAGATTTCGTGGCAGGCGCCGCACTTTCGCAAGGTCAAGTACAGATTTCGTGGCAGGCGCAACACGTTCGCAAGGTCGAGTACAGATTTCGTGGCAGGCGCAGCACTTTCGCAAGGTCAAGTGCCAAATTCGTGGCAAGCGCAGCACTTTCGCAAGGTCAAGTACAGATCTCGTGGCAGGCGCAGCACTTTCGCAAGGTCAAGTGCCAAATTCGTGGCAGGCGCAGCACTTTCGCAAGGTCAAGTATAGATTTCGTGGCAGGCACAGCACTTTCGCCAGTTTAGGTACAGATCGATAGATAGATAGATAGATAGATAGATAGATAGATAGATAGATACATCGATAGACTAGATAGATAAACAGAGGGAGATAGATAGATACATAGATAGATAGACGGTTAGATAGATAGATAAATAGAGAAAAATAGAGAAAAGAGAGAGATAGAGCGAGCTAGATAGAAACAGAGATCGATAGATAGATAGATAGACAAATAGATAGCTAGATAGGTAGATAGATAGATAGATGGGAAATATAGATGAAAGAGGTGGGTAGATAGATAGATAGATAGATAGAGAGATAGACGGATAGATAGATAGATGAAAGATAGAGCTAGAGATAGATAGATAGATAGATAGATAAATACATAGATAGATAAATAAATAGATAGAGAGATAGATAACTAGATAGAAACAGAGATAAAGAGATAGAAAGATAGAAAGAAAGAGAGACAAAATAATACATAGATAGATAAATAGACAGATAAATAGATAGAGAGGAAAATAGATAGATAGATAGGTAGAGAGAATGAGATATAGAGGTAGATAGAGAGATGGATAGATAGGTAGATCTAGAGAAAATTAGACATATAGATAGATAGATAGATAGAGAGATAGAGAGATGGAGAAATACGCGTGAGATAATGAGATAGGGAGATAGATAGATAAAGATAGGCAGACACAGAAAATATATTAACTATAGAAATATGGATAGGCAGATGGATAGATAAATAAATAGATAGATAGATAGATAAATCGATAGAGAGGTACATAGATAGATAGACAGATAGAGAGAGAGAGAGAAAGAGATAAAGGGAAACAGAGAGATGGATAGATAGAAAGATAGAGAGATATATACAGGTAGAGAGATAGAGAGATAGATAGAGAAGATAGATAGAGAGATAGATAGATAACAAGAGAGATAGATAGATAGGTAGTTAGGTAGATAGATAGATAGAGAAAGATAGATAGACAAGCAAACGAAAGAAAGAAAGAAAGAAAGAAAGAAAGAAAGAAAGAAAAGACAGAAAGAAGGAAAGAAAGGAGGAAGGAAGGAAAGAAAGGAAGAAAGGAAGAATGACGGAGAAAAAGAGTCAAGAAAAGAACGAGAAAGAGAACTATAGTTTTGATATTTTTGAAACTTCCGCCCACCGGCTTCGCCGGCTCTACTGGTAACCCTTTCCAAGAAAATTCACCTTGGCCAAGTGGGCACTTCAATGGCAGCCAAAATCCCTGCTCCAGCTGCCCAGTCCGCCTGAAGCAAGTCTCGGAAGGCCCAGCACCTCACATCCCTTCAAACTCCGGTGAAATCTTTCTAGAAACTTGTCAATCCCCCCTTAAAACCGATCATCTAGAAAGTGATCAAATCCCATCCACAAACCACAGCAAATGGTCAAGAAACCGATAAAATCACCCCTAGAAACTGGTCACCTACCCTCTAGAAACCGGCCAAACTCCCTTTCAAAGCCGGTCCAACTTTTTGTAGAAACCGGTCAAACCCCGTTAAAACCAGTCAAATTCCCCTCCACACACCAATCCAATCCCCCTTAAAATCCAAACTCTCCTCTAGAAACCTGTCAAGCCCCCTCTAAAACAGGCCCAACTCCGGCCAAACAAGCCGTTGGGAAACACGCAGACATGCACCCACCCTCCAGCTTGGAAGCCAGCTCACGCAACACAAGACTTCAGGCGGTGTATACCTCAAAGCCAGCCAAAAGCGGACCGACAACAAGAAGCGTTTACAATTATCTGCGCCACACATCAAAGAGGCAAACCCTGCAAAAGCCGCCATGTTGGGGTGGGTGGGTGAGTAACACTTTGGAACCTCATTTGCTGTAAATTCGGGGCCCAACGCAGTATGCTGGGGTATTTGTGCTGAAATTGGAGCTTGCCTTTGTTTTACTCTTGCGCATTCGGAAGATTAAAATATCTCATAAAATTACGCAAAATAGATGACCTATAATACTTGTTAAGAGATAAAACTCCTGATGTGTCTTTTGTGAGGAAGCAGCCAAATTTATTCCCCGGAAGTCATTGCTCGGACACTTAACACGTCAAATACGGGGGCAGGGAAGTGCAGGGAAAAGAAGGGGGAAATGCAAGAACATGAAGTGGAAATGACAGGAAATCAATGAGAAATGAAATAGAAACAAAGGGAACTGAAAGGAAACAAGGGGGACTGAAAAGGAAATGAAGGGGGAGTGAAGGGGACATGAAACAGTTGCGAAATGAAGCGGCAATTGAACGGAAAGGAAGGGGGCATGACGTGGAAATGATGGGAAATGACAGGACATGAAAAGGAAGCGAAGGCAAAATGAAGGGGAAATCAAGAGGAAAGTCAGTAGCCAGATCACTTGATGAGAGTAAGAAAGGGACTGACAGCTCCACAGTCTTGGAGCCATTGAGGACGCACTCTAGCCAGAAGGGCTGCAGCACCATGACACGATCACCGACAGCTGGGCCACGAGGAGAAAGGGCCGTTGTTTCTTCGAGTGTTGCTTCTGCCTCATCGCAGCCTCGGAAGACCATGCTGCGATCATCTTCAAAGCGATTCAGCCGCGTTTTCATCCAGTTCATACAAATTGAACATTCGCGCGAATTGCGCAGCGGCCTCAAAAGACAAAGAAACCCGCTAGTGCGTGCGATGAGATGTATTTGCCTGGCGAAGCAATGAAGCTTGTCATGTCGCCGAGACCGGGATAAGCTTCTTCCTTACACACGGAGAGGTTAAAAGAAACGCTGAACGGTGCAACCGGGTTAGCTGCGAAGATTGCGGCAAAGACTCTGGAAAGGCGCGAGCATCCTGTTGCCATCTTGAGGGGCCGTTTGATTCATACGGGACTTTGAAGCCCAAAGCCCTCAAGCTGTGCACGAGGCAAACATGCCTGTAGGCGGGAAACCCGGCTCGTTCGGGTTGAGCTTGTCTTGGTGCGAGCGCGTCGCGGGCACATGCGCAAGGCAAGCTTGCTGCCATGCCACGCTTTGGGCGAGCGTCGGCCGGAAAAAAAACGGCATGCCTACCAGCAGAGCTAGGTGCAAACCGTTAGCGCTTGAGTTCTGCAACATTGGAGGCGTCTATGGCTCGCGTACTTCTCCGAGGCCTCCTTGATATCATGCAACGCAAGACAACGCAGGTGCAAGCATGGGAAGGCGCAGGGTTGCAGCTAGGTCTCGGTCTTCCTTTGCTTCAAAGGAGTCGTCGAGGCCGCGCGCCTGCCAGTTTGGTGATCGAGGTTGAAGCGGGGAAGGTTCGCGACTTACGCGGGGCCTGCGGTAGACAAGGCTCAGACATCATGTCAGATGTCGTGACCCCGTGGCAGCCCCCCCACCTCGCGCCGCAGGACCTCCTCGACTTGAAGGGGGCAAGGCCGGGAATCGAACGTTGCCCGTTTGACGCGCTTTCTTTCAAGTGACCTGAAAACGGCTTTTCCGCGCAGCCGGCTGCGGTCCCGTCACCTACCAAGTCCCCAGCACGAAAATCAAATCAAAATCGTCCTCGGTGTCGGGTGCGCTTGCAGATGGTGCTAGGAGACAATGCAGGGGTCATGAAGCGGAAGCGCACGGCTATCCAGGCAACTCGGGGGAAATGACGTTGCAAGGCAAACGGGAAATGCCAGGGAAACGGAGAGGAAATGCAAGGGACTGCAGGGGAAACGAACCAGAAATGAAGGGGGAATGAATGGAAAACTAAGGGGTAAAAGGCAATGAAGAAGCAATGAACGAAAACGAAGGAAGCTAGAAGGGACTGATTGGATCTGAAGGGGGCATGAGTGGGAACTGAAGCTGAAATGAAATGACAATGAAAGGGGAGACAGAGAGAGGAGCTGGGGAGAAAGAGGCGTAGCAAGGAGGTAAAGAATGCTGTACTTTTGGGCAGCGCCCGCCGTGCGGCCGCCGCGTTAGCCTTGCGTAAAATCATTAGGAAAGACGTGAGAGACCTGATTGCAGCGCCTTTGTGGAAGGCGTCCTCCGGTCTTCTTCGAGGAGCTGCCAAGATGCAGACGGGCTAGTCTTGCCCCTTGGCGCCCAGCACCGTGAAAAAGCGCACCATGTGCTTGACACCTATGCTTGGCAGCGAGGAGTCGAGGGCTTGCGCAGCCGCCAAACCATGAGCGCAGGTGAGGCCCTCCAAGCTGCGGCAAGTCGCGCCCGAACGTCAGCACCAAGATGACGCCCTTCTCCGCAAGCTGCCCAGCCACCAACTTGAAGGGCACGGACGCCAGCACCAGGACAAAGAGCGTAGCCGACGCTGTGGTCTCTTGACTGGCGTTGGTGCGCGCTGCCGCCTGCCACGGGGCGCTGCAAGTGCAAAGAAGCATTTCCGGCGGATTGCCTGGAGACAAAGTTGTCAGCACAAGCACCCTTACTGCGAGCACCTCCATGGTCAGAATGTCCAACTGCCTCTGATGGGCCAGGCGGGCATCATGCTGGACCACTTGAAGGCCGAGCTGTCAACCATATGGAATTTGCTTGCGCAAGTCGGTCGCAAACAACGTGGCCGCGACCTTAGAGAAAACAGCACAACTTGACAACGCCTCTTTTCTCACGGTGCGGCAGAAAAGATCGACGAAAGCCTTGTAGCGACGAGAGCAGAACTTAGTATCGCCTGCCTCTGAGCTAAGTAACAATAACTCCAAATACGTTCGTACATGTGTCTGTAACACTTTTAAATCACCCATAAATCCAAGTAATGATCAAAAAATGCCCGTCCCAGCAAGTTTGACAGCTCCGCGACAACGCTGTCAATGCGAGCAGCAGCATCCTCTACTCGAACCAAGAACGCTGATGCAGTATCGAGCGTGAAGACATTGGCCATCCACAAGGCTCAGCGGATGCGCCCAGTCTCTGGGCGGCGCTAGAGAAACATATGCAAGCTCCAATTTCAACAATTGCCAAGACCAAAGCATACTGCATAGGGCCTCAAGCCTAAAAATCCAGCAGAGCTCCCAACATTGTGTTTTTAAAACTGGAGTTCAGAAGGGGGTTAAGGGTGGAGTCGTCCAAAGGCGCCTTCAAGAACTGGATGCGCACGTCCGCAAACGGCCAATTAACTGGTGATTGTTTGTGGTACCTGTCCGCCGACATTGCTCGGCATGTCGGACACCAAAGAAGGGATAGCGGATACCCCTGATAGCTCTTTGCTGGTTCGGGTTGTCTGCCTCCTTTTGCCGAAAATCTGGAAAAACTCTTTGTTGTTGACCTCATTTTTGCGACAACGTGGCAAAAACAGTGTTTTTTGTGGAAAAATACCGGGGAGCGAAGGGAACATGCAAGGAAGTGCAGGGAAGTCAAGGGGAGGAAACAAAGGGATCTGCAAGGACATGCAGCGGACAGGAGGTTGACATGACAGGAAAGCAAGATGAACTGAAAGGGAAACGAAGGGGAACTGAAAGGGACATGGGGAAGGAAATGAAAACAGGGGGGAAGGACAGGGAAACAAAGGACGAGGAAACCAAAGGGCAATGAAAGGGAAACACATGGAAAATGAAGCGGACATACCGAGAAAATGACAGGGACATGAAGGGGGAATTGAAAGGAATGGAAAGGGACATGACGAGGGCATCATGGGAAATGACGAAACATCAAAAAAATGAAGGGAAGCCAGTCGGAAGAAGACCATTCAGGGGTCATGAAGGGGCAGTGCGCGGAAATCGAGGCAACTCAGGGGCGACAGGAAGCATATCAGAGACAAAGGGATAGAGAGAGAGAGAGAGAGAGAGAGAGAGAGAGAGAGAGAGAGAGAGAGAGAGAGGGAGAGGGAGAGGGAGAGGGAGAGAGAGAGAGAGAGAAAAAAAAAAGAGATAGAGAAAGAGTCAGAGAAAGAGAGAGAAAGAGAGAAAAGAGAGAGGAGAGAGAGAGAGGCAGCGACCGGGGAGGGGGAGGAGGGTAGAGAAAGATAGAGACATAGAGAGGAGGGAGAGAGAGAGAGAGAGAGAGTGAGAGAGAGTGAGAAAAGGGAGAGGACAATGTCGGCGGAGTGAGCTGGAGGCTCTAAAGTTCTTGAAGGACTAGTCGTCGGGTACCCTTGTTGGTACGTAGTGGGCGTCTTTTATTGCGGGTACCTTGCTTGGGGCTTGGTTAGAAGGCAAACCAATACGAAACCAACCACCTGAATGAGGTGGATACTTCTGAGACATAATATGATGGCTGACCATTTGCTGGGTGTCAGCGTTTCTGCAATGATGCTGGATTACTTCATAGATTTCACCTTTCAAAGCCAATGTTTGAAGGCGAAGGGGGCCTCCAAACACTACCCACGAGCATGCAACCGGCAGAAGAACAGGGATCCTTACATTATACACCTGAACATTGCCTTGTAAATGGAGGTTCCCCTTTATTTTCGTGGAAAAAGCCATGTTTCAAGTGTCCTCCAATCGCCGCGCGGCCTTTTGACAAAACCGGGCCCGGCCTGGCGAGCTCTTCGGCGCTTGGCTGCCAGACCGACGGAAGAACAGCCTGCACCTCACTTGGACAAGGACCCGAAGTCTGGGCCCCCCAAAATGCAGATGATACTCGTAGGATGGATTTCAATTGGGGAGTTTTGAGGGGACGTGAGGACTTATATATGTCACGTTGCCCTGTTTGGAAATTAATTCACAGCCACAGCCATGTAATATGGCTTTATGGTACCTCTGTGGTTCTATACCGATCTCCCTCTAGGTGTAGTAATTTGCAAGTTTTTCGTTGTTGAAACCTGCCGTCGGAAGTGTGCAATTTCATGTATCTGTGATTCACGGCCAACACCTGACCGGGCCTGCATCCGCTATGCCTTCTCTTGGCGAATTTTCGAATTGGCACTGCCCGTGAGCACAACCACAGGTAAACACCAAAACATAACTGGCCTTGGCCTTGCTGCATTTCAGCACAACCACTTGTCAGAATCGCTTACTCAAGTGCCGGAGTTACAACGCTGGATTGCATGCCCTCGGATTGTGGATGTGTGTGTGTGTGAAACGGAGCATTGGATCAGGAGAAATGCCTTCTCGTATCCTAAGAGAGGTAATTTGATAGCATGTGGCTTCAAAGGGAGCCGAAGGTAAACCCATCACCACGATGGGCTCGCTGTTTGGTGAACACCCACATACTGCCACCTATCTGGCATCAGCGGTTGAGGCTTTCAAGTGAAGAGAAGCTCACTTCAGCTAGAACTGCGCATCCTCGCTTATCGATGTCAAAGGCAACGTTAACATCTTTCTGCGATGTAGGCTACCTTAATTCATGAAGAAAGCAGTGGCATTCATCGGCTCAGCTGCAGGACTGGAATGATCAGGAAGGAAGGATTTGGGCAAGCTACGGTATCTTCAGTACTGAAATTGGGAACCTTTCCAGAAAAGGACCTTCATGCTGGGTGAGCTCGTTTTACCCGTGAGCTAATACCCAGCAGTTGCCTGCGCAAACCGACTCGAGTCTCCAATCGCCCCTTGCCTGGTGGCCTTCGTTCGACTCCACAAAAGCACGGCAGGCCTGGCGCCAGCAGCGTCAACTGCGCAGCACCCCGTCGTGCGTCCCACGAACCCTTCTCATGTCAACTGAATCATAATCAAAACCCGGCACTAAAATGGTCCAGCTTCAAGAATTAAGAAGGCGGCCGCAGCTATTTATGGCAGGGGGATTGTCTTCATCTACCCAGGTCTTGACTGTGGCTCAGCTCTTCGAATTCCAAAGCGGCCCAGTGAGCAATCATCATCTTCCATTTGGGTAAGACCCCCAGGAAAAATGAACATATTTCCAGTAGTGATAGATTCCCTCTAAAACAAACCAAAAAACATATTCTTAAGCAAATGGAAGTCATGGGCTGGGCCATCTGGTGCCCGCCCGCCGAGCCTGGGCCACATCTTATGGCTACTGCCGGGCTCCGGGAAAGGATATACCCCCAACTTCGGCATGCGAAACCGGTGCCTAACACGGAAGTGCTCAGCACCCTCATTCTCCAACGCGCATGTAACACATATGACATACTCATATACGAATACCTGCTACATATGACTAATTGATGAATTATGAAAATTCGCCTCGGCCCCAAAGGGGCCAAGGGCGCTCAGATCTCTTCTCCAAAGAGAATCTTCGCTTTTCCCCTCCCCGAAATTTTCGGGGTTCGTCGGCGTCCAGCTCCACAGTCCATTTTTGTCGAAATCACTAAAAAAATGCTTTTTTGTCATGAAAAGCATGACCTCCTGCTGGCCAGGCCTGTCTGACGTGTCTGAGACTAGGCCCAGCCCAACCAGCAGCCCGCCTGCTGGCCAGGCCTGTCAGCCCAAGTCATCCAGCAAGCCCAGCCCAGCCTGCCCAGCCCAGGCCCCGGCGCATCTCAGGGCATGCCACGCCAGGAGGCTCAGGTTGCTGGTCCCAAGCTATGAAAGCTACTAAGACTGTCTGAAGTGCCCCCAGCCCCTCAGTCCGGCTGCCCAAGCAGCTCAGCCCAGGCCTTGACCTCCTGCTAAGTCATTCAGCAGGCCCAGCCCCTTTGGCGCAGTCTGAGACTGGTCTCAAAGCCTGAGACTAGCCTCAGGCCCAGTCCCTCAGCCCGCCTGCTGGCGTGTCTTACGTGTCTGCGACTGGCCTGGCCCAGCCCAGCCAGCAACTCGCCAAGTGTGTATGAAACAGGCCTTGCCCATCCAGCAACCCGCCCAAGCACAGCTCAGCCCAGCCCGCCCAGCCCAAGTTCCAGGCGCAACCAGCAGCGTAGTCCGGCTGCCCGGCAGCCAGCAACCCACCCATGGCCGTGGCTGAGACTAGCTTCAGGCCCAGCCCAACCAGCAACCCACCTCAGCCCAGCCTGCCCAGCCAGGCCCCGGCGCATCTCAGAGCATGCCAGCCACTAGGCCGGCCCCCAGCTCCCAGCCCACCAGCAGGCTCAGCCCAGCGTGCCAAGGTCAGGTTTGTCTAACGTGTCTGAGACTGGCGTCTGAGACTGGTCTCAAGCTAAGCCCGCCTGCTGGCGTGTCTTACGTGTCTGCGACTAGCAACTCGCCACCCAGCCTCAGGCCCAAGTGTGTATGAAACAGGCTTTGCCCATCCAGCAACCCGCCCAAGCACAGCTCAGCCAGCCCGCCCAGCCCAAGTTCCAGGCGCAACCAACAAACCAACAGCGTAGTCCGGCTGCCCGGCAGCCAGCAACCCACCCATGGCTTCGCAGCCTCGTGGCTGAGACTAGCTTCAGGCCCAGCCCATCCAGCAACCCACGCACCAGGCTCAGCCCAGCGTGCCAAGGTCAGGTTTGTCTAACGTGTCTGAGACTGGCCTCAGGCCAACGACCAGTCTCACGTGTCTGACCTCAGTCCGGCTGCCCAAGCAGCTCAGCCCAGGCTGACCAGGCCTTGACCTCCTGCTCGGTCTGGCCCCAAGTCATCCAGCAGGCCCAGCCCCTTCGGCGCCTGACCCTTCCCTCAAACTAGGCTGGGCCGAGGCGGGCAACGCGAAGCGTTTACAATTATCCGACTTGGCTGGAAGTTTCTCGCTGGCGTGGTCCCGAACCAATAAAGCAAAACCACTGGCGGATGTTTGTCAAGGTATCCTCCTAGGCTGTTCATGGGTCTGTCGCGAAGCCCACGGCGCCCAAGGTTACCCACGCAAGCGCTTCCTCTTCCAAGCCAAGGTTAAGGCTCTCACTGACATGAGGGCCTGCGACGGGCAACAAGCAAAAGGATATTCTTCTCAAAACGGCAGTATTTAAGGTTCGGAACCCCAAAATCCCCATCGTTTTAAGGCGGAACCTCCCCCCCCACCATTTGGGTTCCAGATTGATCGAACGGGTTCCTGACTCCCATCCCCCTCGGCTCCTCCTGCAGCGCAGGCCTCAACTTGGCGAATCGTCCCACGAATTCGGCAAATGTCAACCTGTTTCTGGGATGCTCATCTGACTGACCCTTGGCGAAATAGAGGTACCTTGTCTCCCACTAACATGGCGCTTGCCCCTTTCGGACTGTCGTCATGTCCTCGGTGAGCATTGTTCGGATTGGTACACTTTAGGGCAAGGATGAGCTTCGTGGCCTGCATCTAGACGCATTGAGTAATCCATCTTATCCAATTTTGCTCTGTTCTGAAGACACTACTTGGCATACTTGGGTCCAAATCTGCTCTCTTGGCTCAAACGAGACGGATCGCAGAATTGACTCCATGGCTCCATCTTGCGCAAAAGCATCCAGCTGCTCTCGTGAGGTTGCGTGGAACAAGCCCAGCAGCTCACTGCCTCCAGGGCGAAAGTCGCCTTCGCAATTGCCAACGACTGATGACGTTTCGGCAGATCGAAAGAATACGTACGCGTCAACAATGTGCCGCTGCGTGTCGTCGATATCATTCATCCAGGCCACGTTGTAGGGCAGTTCAATCCATTGCGCAATGTCTACCACCTTGGCAAGGACCTCTGCTGCTCTGTTTATGGCACATGCACTGGATGCATCGCATCGCATTCTGATACAAGTGCAAGGATAGTCCAGCATTGAAACTACTCCGTCTTCAAGTTCCACCGAGGACGAAGTTCGCGCTTGAGTCACAGCATACTCAAGCAAAGGTGGAGGAGGAGACGGCCACAAATGGAGGTGGATATGATTTTGGGTCGCTCCAGCTCCCACCGAATTGAACGTGATGACAGATGATCTTGCAGGTTTGATGGTTGAGGCAAGATACGTCACATCTTGGCAGTCTGAATGTGTCAGAGACTGGCATCTCCAATTCTTCTGGTCGTCCATTGCTGGAAGAAGCAGGAAATGGCCTCGCGGGTCGGCTGGGGAAACGTTGTGGTACACGTCCCAGGCAAACAGGCTCTCTTTGCTCAGCCTCTTGATTGGCAACCGTGCTGCTCTTGGGCGTGGCTGTCCGTCACCGTGGAAGGTGGACGAGACTCCGAACAAGCGCAGTGAACCAACGAGAAACGAATCGCTGGAAGCATCATATGGCGGAGGCGTACATTTCGGAGATTCGTCGGCATCGCTGCTCATGGCCTTTGACCTGGCTGGCCTCAGTGTCCGAACCAACTGCAGCTGTGCAGCAAATGGATCATCGTAAACACACTGAATACCCTGTGCTGATTGACTTTGCATCTCGGTCAGTGTCAAGCTGATAGTCTCTATGCGATCTCTGTGTGAAGACTTTCCAGTCTCCGACAATATTTCCACGAACTCCACGAGACGTGCGCTCTCGCCCTGTTGACGCACGCCATATTTCACTTGCAACTCGCCGCCGCCGTCTGTCAAAGTTGTGATGGCTGTGACGTGATCCTCCTCAACTAATTCGCACCATCTCGAAGAAAGATCTTCTCCGGCTATGAAGATTTGCCCAATTGCACCCGGCAGGGTCATTGCCATCCAGCTTGGGCCTGTGCCGGGGAGTAGAGGGACTCTGATTTATGGCACCAGAATGATTCCACATCTCTGAAAGAGGCAAACAAACGCGAAAGTGCTAGCGGAAGACAAAACACATTTCAACAACTTGGTAAACTTCGAGACAAACATTGGGATCAGCATGCCCTGGCCTTTTCCACTCAGCTGCCCGGTGGCTAAAGGAACAAGGGCGCACCAAGGGGTCAAATTACTTCAGCGGTTTCTAGTAGTCAAAGTCAGTAACTGTGGTCATGTGCCAAATGATGAGGTAGCCTCTTGCTGCTTGTTTCCAGTTTTTCAGGTGGTTGTTCGATCTTTTGCGGGGTGGGTTGGATGTTGAAAACGATCTTCCTCAGCAAATTGATCAGTTTGACACACCCAGAAATGATGGTCTTCATTTTGGGTTCCCTTTCGACCAAGCTGAAAAGGGCAGCCTCTAACAAAAACAAGTGACCTTAGTGACCACCAGCACCCCACAGCCCCTGGGTTGCACATCCTGTGGGTCCGGGCAGATCCACGTGCGCACCACTGCGGCGCCGTGCCACCAGGGCCTTTCTTTGCGCCGTTTCGGAATCCCGGAATCACCAGACCAGTGCTCCCATCAAACGTCACTAGGGAAGGGGAAGGTATGTTTGCCTCAGACATAAGCCCTGCTTGAACCACCAAGGAAAAGCTGTGGACCGACCAACTGCATCCTCTTCTTTCTTGAAGAATGGAGTGGCAAGTGGCTTCTATCACGGCGTAATGATCTGTTGCCAAGCTCAATATGTCAATCACTTGTTCCATATGTGTGCTCTGGGAGAGCACTGGGCATCCTAATCAATGTTCCCTTTTTGGGGTTCCACACATTTGTTGGTCCCATATCACAACAAATCTCTCTCCGGCAAATGTTTGCGTCTTCTTTGAGGGTTCCTTCTTTGGACCTCTTAAACAACTGCCAACAACACGTCTCCCCTACAAACATATGCATATGATGTTTGCTTCGCGCATCTCTCAACGGGCACTTCTCCACGTGACCTCCCGGCTGCAAGCAGGGGCCCTGCCATCGCGCAGAGGAACTCCGGCTCCGACAGCTGGCCGTCCTGGTCCTGTTGCCCCAACCGTCAGGGAAGCCCCGCCAATCGCTTCATCTTGCGCTCGGCGCGGTGGCAGAATTGGAAGGACCCGAGGAAACCGAAGATCCAAGTGGCTTCGTTTCAGGAAGCCCCCGGAAGGGTTCATTCCCAGATTCTCTACTTGGCGCACCAGGAAGTTGAACCAAACAAGACCTGGTTGGATGCAAGGAAAACCGCGGGAAACTGAAAGGAAACCATTTCTGGGGGGGCCCTGTTTCTAGGAATCTTGTCCAGGTGCTACGTGTGCGCAAATCATTTCAGCGGCGATGAAACATGTCAGCGGCGATGAATCAACATTTTACAGTATGTATACTTACAATATTATAAGCCCTCATTTAGGTTGGTGTAAAGGGAAACCAAAAGAACAACAGCATTGTTTGGTCCCCCCATCTTGACACATACCCATAGCAGCAAACGGCCAAAAGTGCTCTATGCCTGGCCAGAGGGATTCCGCATCCTCACATGAAATTCAACCAAGGATGCGTATTTGCATGTTGCTTCAACGCACATTTGTCTTGCTTACCAATCTTAGGGCCATCCCAAACGAGGCAACGATGCAACCGTTTGCAAGCATGTTCTCGGTAAACATTCCGCATATTGCGCATTCTCCCTCCCAGCAATCTGCTCAACATCGCTGCTCCCATATGTTCAATTGCTTCTTGGTCTTGTCCTTGGCAGCGCCCGTTTCTTGCGAGGACTGCGCGCCTCCCGAATGGTCGCCCCCTTCCATAATTGACATGCAGTGGTGTCATTTTCAGCTCCAAGCAAGAACTCCTAATGGCTTTGGGCCTTGATCTCTTTGAAAGCGGGAGACAACCATCCGCTACACCTGAGTGGACAATCAAACCCTAGCCTTCAAAACATCTGATATAAAACAGCATACCCGAGCCTGGGCATATCTCTCTCTCTCTCTCTCTCTCTCTCTCTCTCTCTCTCTCTTTGTTTACAAGCATGCTTGTTCGCATCCCATTTCGCGAAGCTTTATCGAAGCTTCTGCGGCCCATGTTTTCCTTTCGGGCAACTTGCATGTCAAGAGACGGCAAGGTGACGTCCCGTGGGACGCTATGCACCGAACCCTCAAGCTGTAATACCAACCACGTAGAAATGTGTATACGGACGATGCCGTTATAGCCGAACCCGTGTAAACGTTGTAAGGGAGAAGGAATGATAGTTACAACAGTGGTCCTGACGAATGCAGCGCAAGCGAAGTGTTTTCGCTCTCAATGCCGATCACGTATGTATGCAGTCACACATCAGATCTTGAACCTCAATTGTGTCTTGAGCCAAATGGCGATCAATGGAACTTGGGAAGCAACACCAACAAGGACCTCAGAACAGCTACCCAATTTCGGCACGGGGCCTAGAGGGTTTTAACATCCCCCATTTGGGTCGCATTGTTCATCATGCGGTCCAAACACCACAAAACGTTCCACTGGCCACGGCTTCAACTACGAAATCGTGTCGTGCATTCTTTTACTTGCTATCACTACACCGTTCATTCGCTGTGAAACATGCCGGGTTCGATTGTACGAAAAGTGAAACATTCATCCTCCAATCGAAGCACACATCCATATGCAGGTGTATATAATACACAATCGTCACGTCATTTGACCACCAATGAACAATCCAGCTGCCGCATTTGCGCATCGCGCAGCTGTCATCCATAAATGGGTTGGCCGAAAAAAGTCCACCAGAGGCGCCTGCTCGCAATCGGTCTGCACATTTCCGGCAAAGAAACATCGGTGAGTAATCAATGCAAATCATAGCCATTCCAGATACCATGGACAATGCATAAATAATGAAAAGATATCATCTATAAGGTAATAGTTCCATCCATGAATATCCAGAGCGTCATAGTCATCGGAATATGTAACCATGTACACACCCAATCATCTTGGACACATGAAAATAAATCATGACATAAGTCGTTCCACCGAAACAGTGTCGATGTGACGCAAGTAACAGATGGGGACTGACCCACATCGTACCGCAATCAGCATCTTCACGAAGCATACCTGTCCCCAATGGACAGCCTATGGGTACGTCGGCGGAACTCCTCGTCCAAGTTCTTCTGGGCTTCTCGTGCCCGGACACACTTCTTGTTGTAGTCCTCTGGCAACCAGTGCCCTTTCCGAAGGCACCAATCCAGCAGGGGTGTGTCGCATTTGTTCGGGTCGATGGCCGAGATGATGGCGCTCACGTTGACCGTGTAACCATTCTTGCCAAGGTTTAGGCCATCCCTCACGAATGATATATACTTACAGTTGAAAGCTAGTGCAAAACATCTGAAAATAATATCACCCACCGGGTGCACTCGGTCCTTGACCAGGAGCTTCATTTCTTCCTTGGTGACATCGAGGATTCTCGCTGCAATCCACAGCTTGTAGAATGTGTAAAGTCCCTCGCATTTGCACACCATCATACGAATATATTCGTCACGCTCCTCAACCGATCGGAAGGCTCTTGTCCGAACATTCTCCGATTGAGAAATCTTCGTTATTGTTGATGGCAAAAGTATACCTTCCTGATCATGCTCGGTGATGTTGGGGTACCTCTTGAAGTCATTGTGATAAGGGCAGCCCGGCCTCCCTTCGAGTCCGGCATTCATCGTTCTCTCCTCACCACCTTCAAACATCCCCCACATCTTGGACAGCTGGAGTGCGATAAATCCTGCCATGTACTGAGCCTCACGCGGCTCGTCAAGGCAGATCGCCATCCGTTGGGAACTTATAATGTCCCGTGACGCCAGATCGGTGTCGCGGTAATGCCAACCGCTGTCTTCTTCTTCTGACGCATAGCCGGATGTATATCCTTGCGTGTCCATGTCGTCATCTTCTCCCGGAACTTCCTCCGCTTCGTCTTCATCCTCCTGTGCTGCCGCATCGTGGTTAGCTTCTTCCTGTGCACGCCTGGCATCTCCAGAGACGTTGGGGTTTTGGTTGTCCTCCTCGTCATCGGATTTGATGTGAATGTAGTATCTTCCGATGGAGATCAGTTGTGCCTCGCACTCCAGGCATAAGCAGAAGCAGGTGGGGATCGCGGTCGCACATGATGGACATATCCGGCACCTCAGTCCTTCCCATGTCTCGTCATTCAGGATGACGACTTTGCTGATTTCGTCCCGGACCTCGTTGACCTGTGCATTGAACTCCTCCATCTTGTTGATTCGATAGAGTTCGCAGGCACGATTAACCATGTCAACGATGTAGTGCAGATTATCGGCACCTGTCTCAGTCTCCGGCATCCTCTCGCTGATCTTTGCGACGTTCTGGAGGAACATCGCAGCCGACTCTTGGGAAGAGTTGACAAAGCCAGGGCAGATCTCGTTCTCCACACACTTCGAGTACGCCCTCTTGATGTCAGCGTACTCCAGGCGCTTCCCTCCGTTGCTTTTGCCAATCCAAATGGACTTGACCTCATAGAACGGGATCACGTCAAAGACCATGAAAGTCCCATTAGCCGCGACTCCAGCCCCATACCGCGCGAGGGTTGCACTGGGAATGTAGATGATCGCAATCGGATCCCCTCTCCTCACGTTCCGCAGCGTTGTCTTCGTCGCCACGTTCATCTCATCCCATGGAGCAAACGCCCCGAAGTGCAGTGCTAGCCTGTTGCCGCCATCGATTCCGCCGGGGACTAACCCACAGCGTACGATGCTTGGCAGGTTTTCCACATACGTCACATGGAATGCTCCTCCGAGAGAATCACCCATTCTTGCGGAATACCTATTCGCCAGTGCGGATGAGCTCATGAATCCAAAATCACTGTGACCAGTTGTGACTCGGATGCACCAAGGTCTGTACCATCCATCGCATCTGTTGAACATCCTGTCGATGTCGTCCCGATCCACGCCAGCTTCGGTCATTTCCTCCCTGGCTGCCCTCGTGTCGTTCGGGTTCATGATGCTCGGAAACCTTGCTGCCAAACCTGGAATCTCGATTTTCTGCTTCCGGATTCCTGCCACTTGATCACCTCCATGATGCCCATGTATCGTTTCGCTCTCGTGGTGTATGGTGGGAATATGTCGTTGTTCCGGTCGTCAATGACAGCATCAATGTCGACCCATCCACCCTCGTCGCACCTGAAAGCACTTCCTCGGCAATTGCCGATCTTGTGTCGAAGGACTCTGCATAGGTCGTGAGATAGCTGGTTTGCTTGGTCCCTTGTAGTAAATACCGAGCGATCATCACCAATCCTGCATAGTGGAGCACCGTCGAAAGGAGCAATGCAGAAGTTGACACTCTTGCCAAGTTGCATCACGTCCACTTGCTCAAGGATTGCACCTTTGGGAAAGTATTTGGGGTCAACGATGGACGCATACGCCCATGGCAAGTGCACATCACTCACATCGCCATACTTCGGGATGTAGCACGGGATGGTGTCGCATCCCATCTCAAGCGTCTTCTTGAATGTCCTGCTGTCCCCGCACGGGTTGTAGGTGAGGTCGACGCCACCACATTGTAGCTCTCCTCCCTCAGCCGTGTCAGCCATCTCCACCAAATTAATAGTGTAGCTGTACATCTCAATTGTTTCTTTCCCTGCTTGTCCCCCTTTCTTTCTTTCCTTGGACGTTGATGAGGACGGTTCCTCCGTATCCCCCATGTCTTCATCAGATGAAACAGGGTCACTGCTGAGTAGCTCACGGAGCACCTTCATCGCCTTCTCATTTCCAGCAGCCTCCTCAATGTCCTTGCAGTCGCCGTCGTGGGCCAGGTTCGCGCACTTCTTACAGATCCCCATATCTCCCATGCACTTCTCCATTGACTCCAGGAATCCTAGTGCCGCTCTCCGCCCGTCGATCACTCGCTGCTTCTTGTCTTCCTTCTCAGTATTGGTTTGAGAACTTCGACTCGGGTCTGGTGCTTGACCAAGACCCTCATCTTCGCCCTCCGTGGCCTTTCTCTTGGAACCTTGTGCAGAGGGCTCGGTGATCAGGGATCGTGGATGTCTGGGCTTGACCTTGTTCATGATGT